TGAAGCATGTATATCCTGAATTCTTTATCTGACATTCCATCTGCTGCAGCTGTTACCTCTTCTAAAGTTGCGTTGAACTGCATTGCTTGTGGTCCTTTCTTTCCTTGTCTTTTCATACTGCTTGCGTATCTTTCCTGCAGGTGCGGGCGGCGGCTATGCTCTCTCCTTATTCCAATTGGGGTTTCGTGGCTACCACGCCGGCAGGTCACTGGGCCTGTTCTGGGAGCTGGCGGCGGCTCTGTTCTGCCCCTGCTCCGATTGGGGTGACGAGTGTACCACGCCGGCAGGCCACCGGGCCTGATCCGCCGGTCGGTTGCAGGTTTGCCTACCCTGCAGGCGCGGGAGGCTGCTCTACTCTGCCCCTACTCCAAATGGGGTGACGTGTCTGTCGTACTGGCAGGCCACTGGGCCTGTCCCGCTGGTCGGTCGCAGATCTGCCCACCTTTCGGGCACCGGTGGAGGCTCTGCTCTGCCCCTACTCCAATTGGGGTGTCGTGACTACCCCGCCTGCAGGACGCTGGGCCTGTTCCTGGCACGGGCGGCAACAATGCTCTGCCACTACTCCAATTGGGGTGGTGTTTGTACCACACCGGCAGGCTCCTGGGCCTGATCCGCCGGTCTGTTGTAGGTCTGCCTACCTTGGAGGCGCGGGCGGCGGATCTGCCCTGCCCCTCCTACCATGCCTGCGGACCCCTGGGCCTGATCTGCAGGTTGATCACTGGTCTTCTCACCCTGAGGGCACGGGTGGCGGTTCCGCTCCGCCCCCACTCCAATTGGGGTCACGTGACCACCACACCGGCAGGGCCTGATCCGGGCGTGGCAGAAGGATCTGCTCTGCCCCTACTCCAGTTGGGGTGACGTGTGTACCACACTGGCAGGCCACTGGGCCTGACCCGCCAGGCTGTCACAGGTCTGTTTACCTTGCCAGCGCGAACGGCGGCTCTGCCCTGCCCCTCCTACCACGCCCATGTACCACTGGGTCACGGGTCTGCCCACCTTGCGGGTGTGGGTGGCGGCTCTGCTCCGCCCCCTCTCCAATTGGGGTCACGCGGTCACCACGCTGGCGAGCCGCTGGGCCTGCTCTGGGTGCTGGCGGCGGCCCGGCTCCTCCCCTCTGGCTCGACGACAAATTGAGGAGACTCTGGTGACTGTGCCTCACCCCCCCTACCAGGAGACCAACTGCTTATGTCACCGCTGGTATTGATGAAGTTCTCTCCTCCGCTGCTTTCTGCTGACATCAGATCTCTGCCATGTTGGTATCCTATGTGAATGGCAGCATTTCGTTCCCCTTGCCAGGCAACCAAAGCAACGGATGAGTCCTGACCGGCCCTCAGCAGGACCCGGACCGAGAAGCAGTTTCCGCGGGCTCCTAGCCCCGGGCCAGGGAAGTTCCGGGAGCCGGAACTCGGCCGCTCCGTGCTCTGTGTAAGCTCCTATAAGTGTAAGCTCCAAGAAGCAGTCCCGCGGGCTCAGTTCCGGGAGCTGGAATTCGGCTGCTTAGTGCTTGGTGTATGCTCTGATAGGCGCAGGGTCCAAGAAGCAGCCTCAGCAGGCTCCGCAGCCCTGGGCCAGGGAGGTTCCGGGACGGTTCCGGGAGCCGGAACTCGGCCGCCCCGCGCTCGGTGTTCGCTCCGATAGGATCAGGTTCTAAGAAGCACCCAGGCGCTGAACCCTAGCAATCTGTCTGCAAGCCACAGGCGAATTGCAGCCTGAAATTACCTGATCTATGGCTGAATGAGCTGCGGTCAGTCGAAAACAGGGGTGGTGACGTCAGTTTACCAACATGGTGGCTGCTGGCCTCCTCTGTGGTCTGACCGGTGTGGAGAACCGAGATGGACCGCTTCCTTCCCCCGTCTCGAACCCAGAATTCAGCCCTGAGTACGGTGCTTGCGCGGCTGGCAGAAACTGCAGCGCTGTAACCCTGCGTCTCTATCCCAGCGCGCTCTGCAGACTTTAGCCGCGGGGCGATTTGCTGAATAAGCAGTGTTACCCTCCGTGCAACAAACCTCTCGCGTTTGAGTCCCCGTAGCCGATCCTCGTGCGATGGAAATCCTTCCTCCAGGTTCCGGAGCACCCCACTATTGCTGGAAATTCCTAACAAAATATCCTTTAGCCGTCCTGACTTGTCATACTCCCACACAGTGAAGCAGCACACGGGGACAATGCACTCCCCTCGCCGCCATCTTCCTTCTCCTTTTCCCAATTGTTTCTTAAAAGCCCCGCCTCTGGACATCTTTCCACTGAGGACCAAGCCTTGTACACATGAATCTTTGTGGGACACTTCATATGCCAACCATAAATTTCTACCCTGGTCCCAAGAAACTCATGCCTATCTCATAATGCAAAGTGCATTCAGTCCCAAGAATCCCCATAGCTTTAACAGTTGTACCATGTCTCAAAAGTCTAATTTCAATGTCTCCTCTGAGATTCAAGACAAAACCTTAGCTGTAAACTCTTATAAAAATAAAAAAAGTTCTATGCTTCCAACATATAACGACAGAGTAAACCTTCCCATTCCAAAAGGGAGAAATCGGGACATAGAATGAAGGGACTGGACCAAAGCAGGGAAAACATTAAATTCTGTAGGTCCACATTTAGCTTCTGAGACAATGGTAGCGAGATCTGGGCTCTTAGGGCTGCGGAAGCCCCTCCGTCTCTGTCCTTACTGGTTGTAACCCCTATGGCTCCTTCTTCTGGTTCTGCTCCTAGTCTGCAGCTTTCCTTGCGAGACATTCTACATTCTAGGGATCTTTTAATTCCTGGAATTCCATTGCATCATTTGCTTCACTCTCAAAGTTTCACACTTTGCCTTCTCAGGGTTCACCTTCAGGGATTCCAACTCTGAAACACACTATATGGCTCTCAGGCCTTCATTTGAACTCTCTGTTGAAGTCTGAGAGACTCCCCTAACTCTAGCATCCTGTATTCCTGCAAAACAACCATCATGTGGATGATAGCAAACTGTACAGCCAGCCACAGCTCTATTTTGGACCTCTTGAACTATGGCTGCAGCAGTTCTGAATGCGTACACAGCTAGTTGCATACTGCAACTAAAAGACCTAACTAGCACAATTGTAGAGGAGGGAAAGTTTATTTTGGGCTCACAGTTTCACAGGTCTCAATGGATAGACAGCAGGCTCCATTCCTTGGGGCTTAAGATGAGGTAGAACATCAGAGCTGAAGAGTGTAGCAGAGGGAAGCAGTTCACCATATGATCAGAAAGCAGAAAGAGGTCTTCATGTGCCAGATAGAAAAGGCACACCTCTGATTCCCACCTCTTTCAGCATCTCCCTACCACTTCACTTACCTCTCAGTTAATCCCTATCAGGGGATTAATCACTGATTGAGTTAACACTCTCAAAACCCAACATTTCTCCTCTGAACCTTCTTGCATTATCTCACATGTGAGATTTTGGGGGACACCTCACATCCAAACCATAACACAGGGTGAAAGGAATCCTAGGGAAGAACTTCTTAGGCACCTCTGTGCTAGTAGGGTGCCACAGGACTCTTCTTAAAGTCTTTCAACATGTTTTCATTTTTACACACTTGAGCCTGTTATGCAGGTTGGTCAATTACTCAATGCCCTCAAGGCATCTCTCCTATTGTCACTATGAGAAGTACTTGTTTTGCATTTAGTCATACTAAATTCTGGCCAAACTACAAAATTTTCAAAAGCTTTCTGCTCTGATATTTAGTCCTGATTTTTATTATAAAGATGGTCAAACAGATCAAAATGCTGTGCTGCACTGAAATTGCCTCCATCAGATTAATTAGTCCATCACATTTAAATTCAACTTCATACAAAGTCTAAGGACATGGAAAAGTGTACACATGTTCTTTGCCAGGATATAATACAAATGGACTCCAGTCCCATTCCCCAAACAGTCCTCACTTCCATCTGAAACTCATGAATGTAGTCTTTATTGTCTGCACTCCTATGGGCATTCTGGTCTTCTGACCTCCCACCAGAATTGTTCAATAAGCTCTGTTTAAAACATCTTAAGGCTTCTGTGGCTGTCATCACCAAACCTTTCCAGATTTCTCCTCCAAATAATTTCCAAAGGCTTCTTAACCACATGGGTAGGCACAGTAACAGCAATGACTCCTCTTCTTGGTACATATTTTCTGATAGTCGACTTTTCATCACTGTGATAAATACATGAGAAAAGCAACTTTGATGAGGAAAGATTTACTTTGACTAATGATTATAGAGGTTTCAGTTCACCTTCAGTTGGCTCCATTATTTGGGACTGTAATAAGGCAGAACCTCATGGCAGAAGGACATGGCACAGGAAAGCTGCTTAGCTCAAGACATCCAGAAAGTAGAATGAGAGAGAATGGGGGGGGGGGGCAAGGGAAACATAAAATCTTTAAGGAGATGGCCCCACTCACCAACTTCCTCCATCTAGGTCCCATTTCCCAGTAATTTATTCATATTTTTAATTAACCACATGTATTAATTTACTAAGGAGATTATAGTCATCATGAACCAATCATTTTCTAAAAGTCCCACCTCCCAACATTGCTCCATTGGGGACCAAGTGCTAAATATATGAATCTGGGGAAGGAAATTCTTCAAATCCAAACCATTACAGTGCTCTTTTCCTGAAAGTTCATTATTTAACTGGTTGTACTGTCATCTAGTTATTCTGTCATTTCAATATTTTTGGAAAGTACCAGTATTACTTTCTTCTTGATCATAGAACCAATTGTGGTTTTTCTATGTTGACTTGGCAGTGATCTTGCTCTGCCTTGATGAGGGCTCATGAAGATGCTACATCACCTTCTAGAAACATTATATTTAAGATTTATGACTTGAATGGGTGTGAATAATAGTCAATAGAATGTGTGGTTCTAAATTAATCTTTAATGAACCAATGTTTCTGAGCTGCCTGGTTCTATTTTATATTGAATTATCTGCTTTTTAAAAATGGCTCCAAAAATCTACTTAAAGACATTTGGAGATGATCATATGTGTTTCTTCATGACTCCAAATGCAGTAGTGCATACTCACTAGCTGTTTTTTTTTATTTGTTTATTTTAATCTCTGTCATTTAATTATAACCTGGGCTTAGGTTGTGGCTCAGTGGTAGAATGCTTGCCTAGCAAGTGTGAGGCATGGAGTTCAATTCTCAGCATCATAAGTAAATAAATAAATAAAATAAAAGTCCCCCACAACTAACAATCTATTTTAAAAATAAAATAAATCTAACCAAGCATGTATGAGTCTGGAGAGTCCAGTGGAGATGAATTTGAGAGTCAGACTTCAGGCTCTCTTCAGATGATTGTGCCAAAAGAAGCTGAGGTGGCAGTTCAGGTATAACCTACTGGTCATATTCTCAAGAATGCTGCTCCATATTCGGAATATGGCAGCATGTGAGATGATCATTTGCACCTCCAAATTCAGTAGGCAGAGAAGCAGTATTACTGACATGCATAGGGAAGTTTCAGCAGTCCCTAAGTGAACTCAAAGATCACACTGTACCCAGGCCTTTAATACTTTTTTTCTGAACCTAGTTTTAGTAGAAGTACTGGTAAATACCAGAGCATATTGATAGCTGTTAGAGTTTCATGATTTATGAAACGCACACATGTATTGCTGGCAGAAAGAATATTGTTGAAAGTCTGCATGAATGAATAGGATGAAAGAAATTACAAACATGTGAGGTGAGAAGACAGCAAGAACAGAGAAGAGGAGGGAGAAGTTGTAAGATTCTGTCTTCCCTAGACTCATTTCCATCACCTTCTGGAAATGAGCCCTCTTTACATTACAAGACCATTAGGCTGAGTTCTTGGGGTGTTTTCTTTTATAGGTTATTCCTGTGAGCCCCACAATAACCCTGCTGACTTATTCCTGGACGTCATTTACGGAAATTCCTCTGCTGTGGTATTAAACAGAGAGGAAGAAGACCATGAAGATATGTGAATCTTTTAGATTCACAGATATTTGCCTAATCGGTTTGACCAAAGCTTAGTAATGTGGTGGCTCATTAAAACTTAGCTTTGTGAATTCACGTGAATGCCATGTTCTGATGCCAGCCAATAGATAGACTTTATTGTCAATGAGTGCTGTGTTTTATATTCTATTTATGAATGAGCATTTATATGATGATGTTATTGTAAGAGGAAAATTCACTAAAAATAAATTTACACATTATTTATTGTATTTTTTTGAGAGAGAGAGAGTATTTTTAATATTTATTTTTTTAGCTTTCAGTGGACACAACATCTTTGTTTGTATGTGGTGCTGAGAATCGAACCCGGGCTGTATGCATGCCAGGCGAGTGTGCTACCGCTTGAGCCACATCCCCAGCCCTATTTATTGTATTTTTAAAATTAAAAAAAAAATTGGTACTTTATGTATTTTCTCCTAGTAGAAAGCAAGGACAAGGTTTTATACTAAGAAATATAACTCTTTGTGGTAAGAAGTCTATTTCAAGAACAAATTGTTAGGGAAAGGTCAAGTGAGTTTTCTCTCTCCATATGATCATGGCAGAAGTCTGGCCAATTAGCTCTGTTTACTAATGTTTACATCAGTGACAACACTTGTGACAGCTTTAGAATAAAACTGTTATCTCATAAATGAGTCACAGAAAATAGGGTTAAGTCAGTTCTTGTCTGCTAGTAATATTTGCTTTCTTTATCTATTTTTTTCTAAAGTCAGCCACAATGAAGAACTTCCTAAGAGAGAAAAAACAGTCACAAAAACATTAGCTGAGTTTTATTCTAACTCCTCCTTGTACAAAGACACAAAAGCTGAATTAGAAGAACCCTCACGTGGTCTTAAGAAGAGGAGACCAGCCTTCATGGAAACCACCTATGTCACCTCCTTCTGTCACCAACTCAGATGGATTTCCTGGCATTCATTCAAAAACTTGCTGCCTAATTACAGGACCTCTATATAGAGGGTAATCTGAAAGATTCTTTTCATTTTGCTGTGAGATTCTTATGTGGGAGCAATTGGGTTCTGATATAGTCTACTTAATAATTATGAGTATTTTCTTTTCTTTTTCTTATTTCTAATGTAAGCATTTTCACTTGAAGCTTCTTAAAGTATAAAACAGTTGCCTAATATGTTGGTACATGCCTGTATTCCCAGCTTCTCAGGAGGCTAAGGTAGGAGGATCACAAGTTAGAGACAAACCTGGGCAATGTAGCAAGACCCTATGCAAAACAAAAAGTGCTGGGGATGTGGCTCAGTATGAGCATATTTGCCTTGCATATGTAAGATCCTGGTTGCACTCCTGATTATGGGAAATGGGCAGGTAGAAAATGTGCATGTTTCCTGGCAGAAGAGTTGAGAGCTCAGTTGAAGTCATCCCTCTTAGCTGCGTGGACTTTAATTTGTTCCCAGATCAACTTTGCCAGGTGCCTGCATTGCTTTGCTACTATGTTGTAGGACATTCATAGGTCCCGCTCCTGAACTGGGCCCTGAACTGGGAATACTTGGTAGACACTGAGAGGAGTATTGGCCATTCCAATCATCTGCTCTGTTATTCTCTCAATTCAACAAAAACAGGTTAGTGTTCAACTTAATTTAGAAAGTAGTGTAATAGTGTGCACTGTATTTTGATGCTCTCAGACTTTGGCCAAGCCATTTAAATTATTTATCTCAGCGGTGAAATCTAATAATGAAGCTGTATATTTTATCATAAATGGTGTACATTTTTCACCTCCAACTGAAACTATTTCCATTATCTTTTTCATTTTCCTTTTTAAAAAGATCATTACCACAATCATAGGTTGACTGGTTACGAGTGCTCTTCTCCTTCACTTAAAAAATGATTGCACCGAAATCCAGATTACATTAGTAAATGTGAATCAATGCTATTATTTTTTTCAAGCTTGGAAAAATCCATTTCATTTTTTTAGTATAAATATTGGGTAAACATTATATTCATTGTGGGTAGGATGTGTTCATGCTTTGAAAAATGAATGGAAAAATTAATTTTATTTTTCATATATACTTGTATATATTTATTATTGAACTGTATTGTATATATCATAAATTTTACCCTTTTAACCCTTTTTGAATGTACAGTTACTGTTCACTGCATCAAGTACCTGCTCATTGTGCAACTATAGCCAACATCCAACCCAGAATGTTTTTTTTTTTTTTTTTTTTTTTTAATTTTTTGTCTTCCCACACAGAATCTCTATACCCTACACAGGGAGGACCTCATGGGGTCATTCTTCCTCTCTCTTTTAAGCAGAATAGTAATTCTTTCCCTTCTTTCATTTTTATGAAAAAACAACAACTATGGTTCTTTTGTTTCTGTTCTGTCCTGGCAGGACCTGGACACTCTGTCAGCTAATTTCAGTGTTTACCCAACCTGTCAGCAAAGGAGACCTTTGCACTTGAGAAGAAGCTCTTTATGTGAGTAGATCTCTATTTTAGGAAGGAGCTTGATGTCTGTTGACTAAATTGGTGATATCCATAATCGGACCAAGGATCTGATTGGGAGAATATCAGTATTTTTCTTTTCTTTCATATGTTGATTTGTTTAAAGGACCAATACAAATCATATATACCTATCATGTACAATATGAGCTTTCAAAGTATGTGCAGAGATAACCAGTATTAACTGAAAAAAAAAATGAACAGGGTAGAAAGTCAAGTGTATGGGGCCTCCTGCCAAAGGAAGAGTGAGTTTTGGGGTGAGGTGTAGTCAGCAAATTCCAGTGCTGCAGAGAAAGCAAGTAATAAAGGAGCTGAAATTATCTTTTTGTTTCTAGCAAATAACAAATCAAAATGACTCTGGCAAGAACATTTTGAGGAGCTAGGTAGAATTGTAGTGGTGGGTTAATCAGCAAATTAGCAGTAGTAGATAAAGCTGACAAAGAATTGAAGGTGTGCAGCCTTCAGTGGATTTAAGAATGGAATGAATCAAAGAAAAAGAAGAAAAGGTTCAGTTTTTCTCTTGAGATTTTCAAATATAAAGGAGATTTGCCCGTGCTTACATATGCATCAAGGATAGCAATCATCAGAGAGGGAAGGGATGAAGATACTGGTGGAAGAGTTTGAAAATACAGGAAATCCATGTGAAGAAGAGGAAAGATGAGGATTTAGTATCTGAAAGGGGGTATTGTTGAAAAACATGATCATTGAAGGAAGAAGTCTTTTTTCTTCTTTTTATATCATGAGAGGAGCAAAAATAAAAGGAGAGGGATGGGATTGTAGCTCAGTGCTAGAGCACTCTCCTAGCACATGCAAGGCCCTGGCTTTGATCCTCAGCACCACATAAAAATGAATAAATAAAATAAAGGTATTGTGTCCAGCTACAACTAAAAAATTAAAATTAAAAATAAATAAAGTAAAAGGAGTTTAGGAAACTGCACCTGCATGTAGGGCCTTGGAGAATAATAAAGCCACCTTTGTCACAATCATAAGTGGGGAGAAGAAAACCCTCTGTTATCACTGAGATTAGCCCCTGACATTTTGCGCTTCAATCAGAGCCCAGCTCAGAGGAGAAATATAGCCTCTGAGGAAAGTGAGGAGATGCAGACTCTGTCCCTGGAGGGGTGATGTGGGCCAGAGTGGGCAGCACAGGAGGAATGCTGTCATGAGAGGATCCCGACAAGAGCCTTGGGGGGCTGATGCCCCAGGAAGGCTACACCTGAAGTGGAGAATGACGTGGGGGTGGGGGTCAGCCTACAACCCTTGGATATCTGCAGTGTCAGACCTGGTGGCAGCAGGAGTCTGCACAGCAGAGTCTCCCCTGGGCTGTGCCTTCCTGGAATAATCTGGGATGTATGGTATGTGTTTTTGTTCTGCAGACAAGTGTACATCAGTGGATACTACAGAGTGTCTTCTTACTTCTTTGGAATACTGTTATCTGATTTTCTACCCAGGAGTTTGTTAACAATCATTCTATTTACTTGTACAGTATACTTCATGTTAGGTAAGTAACAAGACAAAGAGGATGTGTTCGTAGTCTTACAAATGAAAGGAAACCAATTTCTCTTTGTAAACATATTTATGGTTTCCAAAACGAAAGATCAAGTCATAAGCCAGGAGAGCAAGTATTCATTCCTCACTTTCTAAAATGGTAGTTCAGTTGTCAATACTGTTCTACACAAATTCTTTTATTTTTTTTGTTTACTTGTGTGTGTGTGTGTGTGTACAGTACTGAGGATTGAACCTGGAGCCACTCACATGCTATACAAGTGGTCTACCATTGAGTTACATCTCCAGCCCTTTTTTTTATTAGCCTATAACAATTACTACTAGTAGTAATAGTACTTTATTTTTTTATTGGTTGTTCAAAAAATTACAAAGCTCATGACATATCATCTTCCATACATTTGATTCAAGTGGGTTATGAACTTCCATTTTTTCCCCAAATACAAGTTGCAGAATCACATCGGTTACACATCCACATTTTTACATAATACCATATTAATGACTGTTGTATTCTGCTACCTTTCCTATCCCCTACTATCCCCCCTCCCCTTCCCTCTCATCTTCCCTCTCTACCCCATCTGCTGTTGTTTAATTCTCTCACTTGTTTTTTTTTTTCCCCTTTCCCCTCACAAACTCTTATATGTAATTTTGTGTAACAATGAGGGTCTCCTTCCATTACCATAGTTTCCCTTCTCTCTCCCTTTCTCTCCCCCCAGTCGTCTCTGTTTAATGTTAATCTTTTCCTCATGCTCTTCTTCCCTGTTCTGATCTTAGTTGCTCTCTTTATATCAAAGAAGACATTTGGCATTTATTTTTAAGGATTGGCTAGCTTCACTTAGCATAATCTGCTCTAATGGCATCCATTTCCCTGCAAAATCCATGATTTTGTCATTTTTTAGTGCTGCATAATACTCCATTGTGTATAAATGCCACAGTTTTTAAATCCATTCATCTATTGAAGGGCATCTAGGTTGATTCCAAAGTCTAGCTATTGTTAATTGTGCTGCTCTGATCATTGATGTGGCAGTATCCCTATAGTATGCTCTTTTAAGGTCCTCAGGGAATAGACCGAGAAGGGCGATAGCTGGGTCAAATGGTGGTTCCATTCCCAGCTTTCCTAGGAATCTCCATACTGCTTTCCATATTGGCCGCACCAGTTTGCAGTTCCACCAGCAATGTACAAGTGTACCCTTTTCCCCACATCCTCGCCAGCACTTGTTGTTGCTTGACTTCATAATGGCTGCCAATCTTACTGGAGTGAGATGGTATCTTAGGGTGGTTTTGATTTGCATTTCTCTGACTGCTAGAGATGGTGAGAATTTTTTCATATACTTATTGATTGATTGTATGTCCTCCTCTGAGAAGTGTCTGTTCAGGTCCTTGGCCCATTTGTTGATAGGGTTGTTTGTTATCTTATTGTTTAATTTTTTGACTTCTTTGTATATTCTGGATATTAGGGCTCTATCTGAAGTGTGAGGAGTAAAAATTTGTTCCCAGGATGTAGGTTCCCTATTTACCTCTCTTATTGTTTCTCTTGCTGAGAAAAAACTTTTTAGTTTAAGTAAGTCCCATTTGTTTATTCTTGTATTTAACTCTTGGGCTATGGGCGTCCTATTAAGGAATTTGGAGCCCGACCCCACAATGTGTAGATCGAAGCCAACTTTTTCTTCTATCAGGTGCAGAGTCTCTGATTTGATATCTAGCTCCTTGATCCATTTTGAATTAACTTTTGTGCATGGCGAGAGAAAGGGGTTCAGCTTCATTTTGTTGCATATGGATTTCCAGTTTTCCAGCACAATTTGTTGAAGATGCTATCCTTTCTCCATTGCATGCTTTTAGCGCCTTTATCAAATATAAGAAAGCTGTAATTTTGTGGATTGGTCTCTGTGTCCTCTATTCTGTACCATTGGTCCACCTGCCTGTTTTGGTACCAGTACCATGCTGTTTTTGTTACTATTGCTCTGTAGTACAGTTTGAAATCTGGTATCGCTATACCTCCCG